AGCCTCCCAAGTAGCTGGGACTACAGGTGCCCGCCACAACGCCTAGCTATTTTTAGGTTGTTGTTATCATTGTTGTTTGGCAGGCCCAGGTGGATTTGAACCAGCCAGCTCCAGTGTAAGTGGCTGGCATCCTAGCCGCTGAGCTATAGGCACCAAGCCTACTTCCATCTTTAAACAAACCTTTCGGAATCTATTTGCTGTTAAGCACTGAGATACAAAAGTGAATGGTGGTTTACCTTCAAAGAGCCTGAGTCTATTAGAGATAGAGTCATGTAAACAGATATTTCTAGTACAATGAAATAAGAGCTAAAAGGATTATATGAAGTGGAATGCATGTATAGAGGATGAACAAATATGGCTGGGAAGAGTATATGAATATTATTTGTGTTAAAAGGTACTCTATACAAAGACATTTCCTTTTAAAGCTAAGTTCAAGGTTCGACTTTGTTTTCATATACTTTAATTCTGTAACTTTAATGTAATTCACTTCTCTCATATGTGGGAAATGCTTCATTCAGATTACATTTGTTTCTTGATTACTCATTGTAGGTTTAATACTATAGTGCTTTATATCTTTAACATTACACTGGAATGCCGTGAAAACATGATCTACCTGAGTCTAAAATGTAGTACATGGATTTATATTGGAACTTGCCCAGGATAAATTTAATTTCTGGCAGAACTTCACGATAATAACTTCATCAATAATTAATGGGTTCTGAAATATGAACCCTAAAAGTATCCTTTCAAGCCCTGGTGTGTACTTAGAGATACTTGTTCAATAAATGTATTTTGGGCACCTACTACAAAGGTCTGTGCCAGACCTTGTGAATAAGAATATAGTACTACAGCATATCCCAAAGGTCACTCATAAAGTTGCCATGCGTAGGGAAAATGGTAAATTCTAGCTGAATGTACCTTTATTTACAAAATATTCCTTACAAAATTTTATAAAATATTTACAAAATGTAGTCTATGTTTTGGCCACCTCTTTATAGAATTTTGTAGTTTTAAAGGAATTTCTAGTCTGCATTTTTTTTCTTCCTTTTTAAGAGCTAGAATCTTGCTCTGTTGCCCAGAGTGAATTGTGGTGATGTGATCATAGCTCACTGCAGCTTGAACTCCTGGGCACAAGCGATCCTTTTGCCATAGCCTCCCAAGTAACTGTGACTACAGGTGAGAGCAATTGCTCCTAGCTAATTTTTAATTTTTTTTTTCTGAGACAGAGTCTTTTTTTTTTTTT